GAGGTGATCAGGCAGGGAGGGGGGGAGGCAGTTAGGAGCAATCAGGCAGGCAGGCAGGTGAGCAGTTAGGAGCCAGTGGTCCCGGATTATGAGAGTGCAGGCTGGGCTATGGGGACACCCTCCCTCCTGTGCACAAATGTCACACACTGAGCCTCTAGTACCTAATTTAAAAAAAAAAAATGAATGCAAAAGAGAAATTTCCTATTATGGAGAATGTGAAGGTTATATATATATATACAAATTAACAGTTAAATTAAGTTGTATATATATATATATATATATATATATATATATATATATATATACAAATTAACAGTTAAATTTTAGCTAACATTTAAGAAATATGTGATCAAGGATAACACTAATTTATACTCAAGAATTAAAGGAAGAAATCAAGGCCATAACGATTTAGAAGGCGACCAGAAAAAGATGGCAGCTGGCAGGATGGAGCTGAGAGAGAAGTGAGTGAGTAAAGGTAGGAAAGGAGTGTGTGTGGGGTGTGTGGGGTGTGTGGGAATGAGTGAGGGAAAGTTAAATCTCGCAGGAGCAGCAGGAGCTGGCAGAAAGCATCTCCTTGACAAGGAGAGACTACCACCGCTTTGGGCACTCTCCGGATGGTGTGATTCCAGCATGGAACCCATGCCATCTTGAAGGGGAGAATGGCCTTTTTAAGAAACTCATCAATACCACCAACAAAACAGGCCTTGGAACTGCCCCGTGACCTAGCACCCACCCGAGCCAATATCCTGCTACCCCAGCTGCAGACCCACAGACCTCCACATCCAAAGATGCACCATTTGCAGCAGCTAAAATAACTCCAAGACTATGAGGATTCCTGCAATAGAGAGGAATTGACAGGACTGCTCTAGCCATGAAGACAGAAGAGAAGCAGTCCAGAGATGGAAGACGCTGACAACACCTTGCCATACTAGCAGACAGCAGCTGTGCACCGCTGAAGGATGCCCAGGACCAAAGCAGAGGCGGTCGGACCCATATCACTACCTTTTGTGCACCACCCAGAACTGAAATATCATTGCTGACACGTACACACAAGGAAATGTTTGACATTGAAATTGGGACTCCAAAGAACTGTTGGCCCAGGAAGGAACTCACTAGACTGATTCATTTGCCTATCAGCAAGTAACCATTATGGCTTGTCTCATTTTTGGTTCTTATAAGTGTATTTCTTGTATCACATGATCTCACACATCTAAGGGAAATAATGAACAACATAAGCTGAAGAACAAAAACAGACCTGGTAACAGAGAAGCATCAATCAGACTGTCAAACCTTGGAGGGAAGGCAGGGGAGGGTGGAGGAAAGGAGAAGAGATCAACCAAAGGACTTGTATGCATGCATATAAGCCTAACCAGTGGTCATGGACAATAGGGAGGTAGGGGCATATGTGGGGAAGGGTTTGGGATGGGAATAGGGGGATGAGGACAATTATGTGCTACCATAACCAATAAATAAATAAAAAAGAAAAAAAAAGAAAAAGAAAAGATTTAGAAGGCAATGGAGGCTACAACTTATACAGATCAAGAAAAGTGGTTCTGAGAATCTATCCATGTTAAAGACCATTCCACATCCAACTGTCTGAAAGAAAGGTAGTTCTCTGATTACCTTTGAATACAACACCCACCCCTGGTTTTTCTCAGTGCTTTCCAATGGCATTCTTAAAAGTATGACATTTGCAAGGCATCTAGGAAAGAGGAGCTACTAGTTAAGAGGCAACAAACCAAGAGGCTCCAGCCACTTTTAGTCATGGCACATAGCTTAGGAAGCTCTCATTTAGAGCAGCAAAAGAGTTACCTGTACTAGTAAAATAAACTCTACCTACATGAACATCATAAAAACAAAAGTTATAAGTAAGCAAGGGAATAATTTCTGAGTACTCAGATCGAACAAATCAATAAATGAATGAGTCCTACCCCCAAAACACACAAAGTATCTTCCTGCAGAAAAAAATCCCAGTCAGCTTACTCTTTATTTACTATGCTCATTTCTTATTAAAAAATAAAAAGAGTGAAATATAAACCTTTTGGAAGTATAAAAGATGTATTTAAATACAAGTGATTGCAAATCAAAAGCCACAAAAACTCTTCTACAAAAGCCATCTTTTTTCCCCCTAATATTACTAGCATTCTGATTTATGAACACTCTTTAAAATATTGTCAATATTTCTTTGTTAGCTATACAAATTGCCATGGTACACCTTTTTACTAGTTATCTATTCTTTCTTAAAAACCACAAGTTTTTCTTGGGATATCAGGGGCAGGTATTTCACTTCATTTCTAGAATTTATCTAAGGTAAAGGATTCTAAGATGTGACCAACAGATAAAATGGGTACAAAACAGTTTTTAGCAAATGAGGATTTTAAAGATAACTATAACTTGGAAAGAACTTTGTAAATTTATAGACTCAACAGTCAAAGAGTACTTCTTTCTTACATAAATAAAAAAAAACTAGAACTCAGCAAACAGAATTAAAATAAAACCAATCAATAAAAACATCCATAGAAATGGACATTAAGAATTCCAAAATGCAGTAATAATTAAAAAAAAAAAAAAAAAAGAATATATACTTCAATTCTGTATTGCTTCAGAAGTATCTTGGTTAAAAGTGCCTTACCCAGCAGAGGGGGTTAATTAATCTGCTTATTTCAATGTCACTGTCCTATTTGTCTTGAAATTCCACAAGACACTGCTGTTTTAAATTTATAACATGCATTATTGCCTCTGCATTTAATCATATAAGTCCCCATAACCTAAAATGCTTTACTATATATCTAATCTCTGCAAGAAATATGGCAACCCTCCAAGTGAATAACTTTTCCTTCATATCTACACTGAGATATACTGATTATCCCTGTTACACAGATAACAAGCTTCCGCAAGAAGAAATGGTCAGGTGAAACAAGTGTTCTGATTCCTAGTTAGTGCATCTTTCAGAAGAATGTATTTTCTTGTTAGTCTATAATAATTCTACACCTAAGAGCTCCTTTTAAGTCCTGCCATAGGGGATAAGTTTGTGCTCTTTCTGAATCCCAGGTTTATTTGTACTAGCTTTATGTCAAAGCCACAATGACCAACACCTAATCCATCCATCTGAGCTGACTCTGATCAGCCTAAATCCTAGTTATACAGATTAAGTCACTTATTAAATTACCTTAAAATAAATCTGTCCATTAATACAGCCAATATTTTAGATCATTACCATTTTATACTCAGTTTCTAAAATCAACAACTTCTCCTGCAACATTTCCCAGTACCATTAGCTCAGATGAGTAGCATTATAGTCCAGGACAAGTAACCATAAGCTTTTTCTTAGAAGTCTACAAAGCCTTATTTTAAAATAGAGGCCTGGTGCACGGTTTTGTGTACAGGTGAGGTCCCTCGGTCTGGCTCATGATCTGGGCCAATCGGGCCTGGCCAGCTTGGGGGAAGGGACCGGGACCGTGGGAGGTTGGCCAGCCACAGGAGGTTGGCTCTGGAAGCGCACTGACCACCAGGGGGAAGCTCCTGCATTGAGTGTCTGCCCTCTGGTGGTCAGTGCATCATCATAATAACCGGTCTTAATGATTGCATAGGCTTTTAAATATATTGATTAGCAATAGTATGTGCCAGCTACCATCTTATGGAAAGCCACAATCACCTTTAGATATTGAAGTTTCTGGTTCACTGAGATTCATTGTTAGGAGTGAATCATAAGCTCACAAAACTCTAGAGCTGGGAGACTTTCAAGATGACTTAGGATAACTCTCCCTTTCACTGAGGCAGAACCACGGAACAAGAAAGTTAGTTTAACAAGACAAGTTAAATTACTGAAATAATTCAATAGTAAAATTATTAAGAAACCAATAACCAAAATTAAAAGTAAATTTATTTAAAATGCTCAGGCCTGCCGAGACCGGTTTGGCTCAATGGATAGAGCGTCGGCTTGGGGACTGAGGGGTCCTGGGTTCGATTCAGGTCAAGGGCATGTACCTTGGTTGCGGGCATATCCCCAGTGGGGGGTGTGCAAGAGGCAGCTGATCGATGACTCTCTCTCATCGATGTTTCTAATTCTCTATCTCTCTCCCTTCCTCTCTGTATAAAATCAATAAATAAATAAATAAATAAATAAATATATATATATATATATATATATATATATATATATATTTATATATATTTAAAAAATAATAAAATAAAAAATAAAATAAAATGCTCAGGCCCTAACTGGGGTAGCACAGTTAGTTAGAGCATCCTCCCAATATGCAAAAGTTGTAGGTTTGATCCCCAGTCAGGGTACATAAGAGAATCAACCAATGAATGCATAAATAGGTGAAACAACAAACTGATGTCTGTCTGTCTGTCTCTCTCTCTCTTTTATTCCCTTCTCTTTTAAATCAACAAATTAAAAATAACTTTTTAAAATGTTCATATATGAAAAATTTAGAATTTAAAATACATTTTCAATAGAAGAAAACATCATAGATGCTAAATAAGCTCACAAACCAGTCCACAAATATATTTTCATGTGCCATAAAATGATTACTCTTTTTTGATTATTTTCAATTATTTAAAAATGCTAAAACCTACTCAGGGGCCATACAAAAACAGGTGGCAGACCTGGATTTGACCTGTGGACTACATAGCTTGCCAGCCTCCAGTCTAGGAGATAGAGGGGAGAAGGAGAGGCAGGGTGTACCTGGCTTAATAACTAGGGGGACTATCCAGGAACACTTCCATTAAACCTAACCACAAAAGCAGTTCTCCTCTAACATGTGTGCATTAATGTAAATTCCAGTTGCAAAAAACAAACAAACAAACAAACAAAGAAACAAAGAAACAACCAGGAATAGTTCATTGTGCTTAATATTAAAAGAGTTCCAGAAACATACCCATTAATCCTTGGCATAAATAACTCTCATAAATTATGGCACACTAATCATTATTTTAAATTAATAATTCATCCTATGTAAGCTTAAAATTATAATAAATGCATTATCAGTTACCATCTTGTCCCTGAGCCGCTCTCCACGGATAAGAAAGTCAGTGCAGCCATCCTCTTCCTGGTGGGAGGCTCTGCAGACAGTGACGCAGCTCAGTCCACTACCTCCGAGGGGCAGCCATCCGCCGCTGGAGTCATCCCGGGTCATCACCACAGCGCGCACTCGTGCATAACTATTACTAAAACAAAGGCAAAGATTATAGGTTAGTTTCCCTGTAAACAAAATCCAGCCAAGCTTCCAGTCTTGTTTGAGAAATCAAAGACCACATCAGTTAAAGTGCTTAGTACTACTTTCATGTAGTCTACAGAAAGTAATCTACTTGAAAGATGTCAAAAACCCCAAAGTAACTTAAAAGGTTAACCTTTATTTTAAAGATCAACCTCACAATAAAAGACTACGGAACTCTTATTTCAATTAATCATTTGAATAGTTCAAGCACATTTGATTGTCATGGAACAAATTAAGAAAAAACCCAGAGACAAACATTGCCAAACTACACAGGCCCTCATCAAACCTGTCTATATATTTCACCTGCTGCAGCACGACCAGGACAAAATACTGCTATATTTTAGCATATTTAATAGCGACACCTATAACCTTCTAACGTTTCTGGAATTTATTATAAATAAATTCTGAAACTCGGACACCATGTTTTTTTTATCTTCTCACAGCTTGGAATCTAAATCACATGAATCATATAAAGACAAATGTTCTGTTTCAATAACTTATCAAGTAATTGAAACCTGAATTTCATGCCTTCTTTTTGGAAGACTATTCTTAACAGACTGCATTCTAGATCCATTCAGAATCACTAACCACAAATACTCCAGGATTGGGCCTAAAGCGGCAGTCAGACATACCCCGAGGGGTCCTATATTGGCGAAGGTGCAGGCTAGGCTGAGCGGACCCTCCCCCTGTGCATGAATTTTGCGCACTGGGTCTCTAGTTTTTTATATAGACGTTTTGAAAGTGGTCAGCTTTACAGGTGACTATTTTTTTTTTTAATATATTTTATTGATTTTTTTTTACAGAGAAGAAGGGAGAGAGATAGAGAGCTAGAAACGTCGATGAGAGAGAAACATTGACCAGCTGCCTCTTGCACACCCCCCACCAGAGATGTGCCCACAACCAACATATCGGGTCTAGTAATAATTAATGTCGTTTTTAAACATTCGTTTAAAATCTTGCTTGGCGTTGACTTGTATTGACATAACCTTCAAACACGTGGTATCTACAGAACGTGTGAAGTGCAATTAACAAGTTTTGCTTGAGAAAGTTTGTGTTTGGTTTGGTTTTTGTTGCAAAACTAGGGCTAAGAAGATGGCGGATGAAGAGCATATTCGGCACTGCATGCTTTACGAGTTCCAATTAGGAAGAAAAGCAAGTGAGGCTGCAAAAAACATCTGTAGTGCTCTTGGTCAAGATGCAGTTAGCACCAGAAAATGCCAGCGTTGGTTTGAGAAATTTCGCGAGGGAAATTTTTCGTTAGATGACAAGAGTGGTCGAGGCCGTGTGTCCAATTTTGATCAAGAAGCTCTTCAAGCTCTTTTGGTGCAAAATCCTCAAATGTACCCAACAAGAGCTTGCGACAACTTTAAATTGTTCACAAAAAACAATTTCCAATCAATTGCGTGCACTTGGCAAAGTCCAAAAGTTTGGAAAATGGGTTCCTCATGAGTTGACCGACAACAACCGTAATCAAAGAGTCACAATTTGCAGTTCGCTCCTCTCTCGTCAAAACCGTTTGCCGTTTTTAGAGCAAATTGTTACCGGAGATGAAAAATGGGTGCTGTATATTAATTTGAAAAGGTGGCCTCAATGGTTGGACAAAAATGAGGCTCCGCAGCCCACGCCAAAACCTGACTTGCATGCGAAAAAAGTGATGTTGTGTGTTTGGTGGAATTTTAAAGGAATTCTTCATTATGAACTTTTACCATCTAACCAAACCATTACAAGTGCAGTGTATAGTGCCCAATTGGAAAGGTTAGCCCAAGCTTTAAGAGTAAAAGAACCCGCGCTGATTAATCGGAAGGGCGTAATTCTTCACCACGATAACGCAGGACCGCATACTGCAAGAATCACTGCTGAAAAACTGCGCCAGTTGGAATGGGAAGTTCTCCCTCAACCTGCATATTCTCCTGATATTGCCCCTTCCGATTACCATTTGTTTCGTTCTTTGCAAAACTTTCTTCTTGGAAAAAAATTTAATAATGAAGAATGCCTCAAAAATGCATTGACCAAATTTTTTGCATCAAAATCACAAGAATTTTACAACAGAGGGATTAAAATGCTTCCTGAGCTTTGGGCACAAGTAGTAGAAAACAACGGCAACTATATTGTTGATTAAATTTTGTTGTATTGTTTAAATAAATTCGATTTTAAAAAGTATTAGAAAATGACATTAATTATTACTAGACCTAATATTTACTATAGAACCCTAACTCTTCTCTCTTGTCTAAATATTTAGTCAACTAGAAATTCAAGAATTTTATACTAGATTTTTTAAGACTTGGAGTAAAATACCCAGTGCAGAAGCCCAGGGTACATCTTGACCTCAGAGTGGGAGAGCAGTTGTTCTCTTTAGGGCATAGACTCTTATCATCCTTGAATCTTTCTCTCATTTACAATTTGTATAATGGTTCTCAGGCATATTTTATATTTTAAAAATATACATAACATTACTTTTAAAATATTTAAAAACCTAGTGGTTACTTTATGATGGTGAAATTTGATATTTTCCCCTTCATCTCTCAGTTTCTTCAAAACTTATTTTTATTCATATTTATAAACTATAAGTAATTTAAATAAATTAAACCCCATTTTTAACTGCCTTTGGCTTTATACAAAACTAGAGGCCTGATGCATGACATTCTTGCAAGAGTGGGCCTTCCTTCTCCCAGCTGCCTGCACCAGCTCCCCTCTGGCACCCAGGACCCGGGCTTCCCTCACAGCCCCGGCTTCGTCAGGAAGGTCATTCGGTCTAATTAGCATAGGGGTGTCGAACTCAATCAGAGAAGGGGCCAAAATCTAAAATCCAGCCTAAATCGCGGGCCGAATGGTTTACTGAACAGTCATAAACTGTCATTGTGATGGAAACGCAGCGGAGTGCAGTAATGACAGCGCGGTGCGGGCCACATTGCAAGGCCTGGCGGGATGGATTTGGCCCGCGGGCTTTGTGTTTGACACATGTGAATTAGCATATCACGCTGTTATTAGTACAGATACTATAAACACTTTAGAACGTTATTTTTATAAGTGTATAAATAAGTTCCAAACAAAAGTATCTCTAACATAATTCCTATCAATACCACTAATTTATTTTATTTTATAAAAGTACCACCCTGAAGAGATGTGCTGTACTTTCTAAGAAAATTGAACAAAACAAGTTTCCTAACTGGAAGAGTAAAGTTGCCGATTCAGTGTTCACCTTAACATAACAAAAGAGTTTTCTTTTTAAAATGGCCAGTAAATTAAATAAACTTTTTTCAATCTCATGTTTTCAACTATCCCAAATATCTTTTTCTCTTATCTATTCAAGTTGTTCCTTCAATCTTAAAAGTACTCCAAAAGCCTATGTAAATCTGTATTCATCCTTCCACAGCCTTCATTAGCTTCTAATTTAACAACTCAGCTTTCAACTTCAAAATCTAAGATTAGAATACCATAAAAGTCAAGCTGTTTAATATTGTGTGGGGCTTTTTTTTTTTTTCAGACTTTCATTCTTGACAAAGTTAATCTTTTCCACCAGTTTTTCATCTCATAACTTCCTTGCCTTCAAATGTCCTCCTCTTTTCCCAAACGAAAGCAGTAACTCTTTTGTCTAAAATATGCAACCACTCCTAAAGACTAATGGCAGCTTCTACAAACTCTGTCAGACTCCTTTTTAAAAAAAAATATATTTTATTGATTTTTTACAGAGAGGAAGGGAGAGAGATAAAGAGCTAGAAACGTCGATGAGAAAGAAACATTGACCAGCTGCCTCTTGCACACCCCCCACTGGGGATGTGCCCACAACCAATGTACATGCCCTTGACAGGAATCGAACCTGGGACCTTTCATTCTGCAGACCAACGCTCTACCACTGAGCCAAACCGGTTTCGGCCAGACTCTTTCTTGTAGCAGAGTAAAATTTGCACTTGTCATTCCCTCCTTAGATAAAAGTGACCTAAGGGCATAAAACCAAATCCTATTCTTCTATTTGAAGTACTTAAACTATTTTGTCCTGATTATGCAAGCAATAGAAGCCCATTCCAATAAATGTGGAAAATAAATAAAAGTAGTATTTACCATTATGGAATTAATATTCAAAATTTTGTTGGATTTTTAATTTCTGGGTATCATATTTGCAATATATTCTTCTCTGACACAACAGCCATTTATAATAACAACGTGCTCTCCGAATTTCACTCTTGAGTGTCTTTAAAATATTTAGTTGAAAAGCATTTGTTCCAACTGATTTATTCAAAAAGACAAATCTGACAAGAATTTAGTTCTTTAGTATTATTTTCGAAAATACTTCTAACTACAGCTCTATTCTTCACTTTGACAATGAACTACATAATAAGCACTTTTTCAGCCTAGCTTTCATTCTAATGAAGTGAAGAGACTCTTGTAAAATGATGCTTGGTTTCCTTAATTTTATTCAAAATCTAAATTGAGCCTCAACTGTTACTCTCTGGTATTATTTGAACAATTACCTCAAATATATTCTTTCATGCCATAGTAGGCTATTTAGAAATTTAGGTGAGAGGAAATGTTGGATTGAACTAGGGTGATAATAATGGACACATATAAATTGACTGATTTGGGTCGATATTGGAGGAAGATCCAAAATAACTTGATGAGGTTATAACTATAGTAAGTATTCTAAATTATCTAACATTCTTAATAAACTATGACCTTTATTTTATATAATTTTCAACTGGCATTTCAATAAAGTTAAGGCAAAATGAGGACCAAACACAAAGATAAATGGACTCTTAAACCTCCTGTCATTACTATCAAGCCTATAAAATATGCACTCATCTACCTTCTTGGTCTTTGCATAAATTCTTTTTAATATAAATACTAATTCTTTGCCAGTTATGTGAATCATAAATCTGTGGCTTCTTTTATTTTTAAATGCTTTTTAAAGAACAAAGCTTTTATCTTACCATGGTCAAATATATTTATTTTCCT